AAAAATTTGATTAAGCCCTATTAAAAAACTCAGTGTCCCCAGTTTTTCTATCTTTTCTGGGTCCACATCTAACAGCGCTGAAAAAAAATTTTTGACCACAAATTTTCAAAACAAACCCTTTTTCCCCCTATTATTTTTTTTTTAAAAAACCTTCTGACTGCCCGATCATTTCTGATTCCTGATGCTTTTAGAAACAATATTCCTGACAAGCATTTTTTTCCCCGCACTTTGAGTTGGGGTATCCTTTTTTTCCCCCGGGTGATTTCTGTTGGGTAAAAAGGTGCTCAGAAAGGAAACAAAAGTCCTCAGACTTTCGCCCAGTTTTCCTCACTTTTTGTCACTTCTGGACGTCTATACCGATGGGCTAAAATTTGCACAGTTAAACCCAGTTTGAGTTTTGGGACTTTTTTTATCTACTCTAAAAATTCATACTCCCCATTTACTAAGTTTGGAAACCCAAACTTGTAATTTTTTTGGTTTTACATTCAAAATTTTAACAACAGTTTAATTTTTTTCCCCGGATGCTCTTTGATTATTCTCAGAGACGTCTTTAAACCATGGGAAAAACCTTTGAGGAATATTTTTCCTTTAAACAGGGTTTTTGAAAAAGCGTTTACCTGCAGCAACTGCAGGGAAAAGGGTTTTTTTTTCTGGTAGCTCCTTTTTCCCTCAAAGATTTTCCCCACAACATTTGAGTTGTGTAACCCCTTTTTCCCCCGAAAGATTTCTGGGTTGGGGAACCGAGTGCCCCAGGGGGAGCAAATTTTCCCCAAAACGTTTTTTTTACCCAGTTTTTTCCTCAAATTTCGTCCCCTTCTGTCACTTTTTGATACCCATGGTTTTAAACTTTGCACATTTAGCTAGTTTAAGTTTGGCACTTTTATATGCAGTTAATAGAAATTCACCCTCCACATCACTAAGTTTGCTACCAATCTTTGAATATTTTTTGTGGAGCATTCTAATTTCATCATCAGTGAATGTACTCGGAGGCTCTTTCTTTGTTTCAGGGCCATCTTCTCCTGGTTCCTGCTGTCTTTTTGAGTCCTGAAGGGATGAAATCTGCAGCTTTACCTGAGATGACATGCCAGCAACATTTTCTGTTGAGTTATTCTCAGAGACGTCTATCACGTCAGATACTGCTGGTGAAACCTTGGAGGAATATTTACCTTTAAACAGGTTACTGAAAAAGAGTTTACATGCAGCAACTGCAGGAAAGGTTTCCTTTTCTGGTAGCTCCTTCTCATCAAAGATTGCATAAATATCTTCCTCTTCAGAATCGTCATCTTCCTCACTAACATTTAGCTCGCTCTGATATTGTTCGTAGAGCCGTTGAACTTCAAGATCAATCAATACACTTGGATGCTCTTTCTTTGTTTCAGGGCCATCTTCTCCTGGTTCCTGCTGTCTTTTTGATTCCTGAAGGGATGAAATCTGCAGCTTTTCCTGAGATGACATGCCAGCAACATTTTCTGTTGAGTTATTCTCAGAGACGTCTATCACGTCTGATACTGCTGGTGAAACCTTGGAGGAATATTTACCTTTAAACAGGTTTGTGAAAAAGCGTTTACATGCAGCAACTGCAGGAAAGGTTTCCTTTTCTGGTAGCTCCTTCTCATCAAAGATTGCATAAATATCTTCCTCTTCAGAATCGTCATCTTCCTCACTAACATTTAGCTCCCTCTGATATTTTTCGTAGAGCCGTTGAACTTCAAGATCAATCAATACACTTGGATGCTGTGGTTCAGTTTCTGTTTGCTGGTGTTTTGAGTCTTCAGAGGAATAACTTTGCTTTCCCAAAGTTGCCAGCAACATGGTTCCTATGCCAGCAACATTGTTCTGTATTGTAGAGTGTTTCTCAGTGACAGAGACGTCTGTCACATCTGATGAAGACTGTGAATCCTCTCCAAAACATTTACCTTTGCAAAGCTTACTGATATAATACTTGGATCTGGCACCCTTAGATTTTTTAGGTACAGCAAACTCTTCCTTTTCTGCATCTTTCCCTTCCTGTTCAGACTCATCTTTGATGTGTCCTGATATGTCATTTTCTTTTGCTAATTTTGTCCCACACTTCAGCTCTATGGGATCAACTTCTCCAAGGCACTGTTCCAAAAACTGCCTAATTCTTTGTTTGAAGTCATTTCCTTCCAGCCTTTCACTTAAGTCTGATCGTGTTGAGAGATAATTCATTACTCTTGTAAACGCCTCAGAGATCAAATACTTGTCCAGAACATTTGAGCTTACATACCTTAATTGCTGGCTTCCATCTTTCCCCTGATTAAAATTTTTCAAAATCAGTTCAATTACATGGGGAACATATTTATTTATCATCTCAGAAATCCGCTTTTGTGTTTCACAATGAATTCTGCCCGAATGCAAACAAATCCACTCCTGTTCAGTCAATTCATTGAAAATATTAAGAGTATCCACTCTAAACTGGTCATAAAATGCCACAACTTCAAGATTTGATTCACTTTTTCCTTCCATCTTTAAATCAATGAGTTTGTTTGCAAATAAATTTCTTGTAACACTTTAGTTTGTTTAAATAGCAATTCTGATGACTTGCCAAACACAACAGTAATAATTCTGTATTGTTTGAAAGAAATGTTAGCTAAATAGAACTGGTGTGTTACCTCCAGAAACTGCAGCCTCAAATGACAAGTAGCACCTTGAAGCAAGTCAGTTGAAATGGTCTGAGCAGAAAATAACCACAGACATTCTAAAACTGACGATGACATCATAGTCCACGCCCACAAAGAACACATGTCCACGCCCAAAGAACACATGTCCACGCCCACAAAGAACAAAAATACAAAAATATTATAACAGGCAAATAAATAAATACTTAAAAGAATAAGTATTTATATATAGAGAGAGATATATAGACCTACATACATTTATTTGTTTGTTGTATTTTTGGGGGCAATTAATTGTATGCCTATTTATTTATGTATATATTTTTAGATATAGTACAGCTGGTCCTCCATATTTGTGGAAGTAATCAGTGATGTCAAGTAACGAAGTACCAATACTTCATTACTGTACTTAAGTACACTTTTCACGTAACTATACACCACTCCATTACTTATTGTTCTTCCTACTTCTGACTTCTACTCATTACATTTTCACACAAGTACCTGTACTTTCTATTCCTTACATTTTTAAAACAAACACTAAAATATTCAGACAACCATGGCAATGCATATAGTTCAAAGAAAGAAGAAACTGCAAATTAAATGGGCTCATTTAATAAAAAAATTCTGATCTTGTATATTGAGGGATATCAGAAATGAAAGAGTAAAAATAGCCAGAAAATGTACACTAGGCCTACACAGCATGACTGAGTGTTCTGTAGATTACACACTAGTGTACAGTGTATTTGTTGGGATTTACTCTTGCTTGCATATATTTAGTAGCAAAATAAACATTGCCATCCATAATAATGTCTGACATCCATAGCTAAAAAAAGACTAGTCATACTTAATGTTTGAAAAGTTTTACTGCCATTAATGAATAACATGAGACATAACATCACACAACATTAGATAGGCCTGATAGCAACGGAAGTTCCCAGCATCCGTCAAATTCCACCACCTACAATCACCGGAAACAGAAGAGGATGGATGGATGGATGGATGGATGGATGGATGGATGGATGGATGGATGGATGGATGGATGGATGGATGGATGGATGGATGGATGGATGGATAGATAAAATGATAGAAAGGGAGTGTGTCCAGAGTGATCTCTTTTCAGGAAAAAGAACCAGAGAGAGAAAGCTTCAAGGTGCAAACACATAGGTTTCCATTAGCAGGTATAAAAAGAAAGGTTCTTGTTGCTTTTAAAGTTACCGTCCCATTGAGGATGAATATTTAGAATACCCAATTAGATTAATGTTTTTTTTTTTATAGGAAAACCAGAGTACCTGGAGAAAACCAGTTAGATGGATGATGGATGTAATGGGTGGGTGGATGGACAGATGGTCAGAGTAATAAAATAATAGAAAGGGAATAGGACAGAAGAGGGAGGGAAAGAAAAATATATCTATATCTGTTGTGTGTATTTAAAAAAAATCTATGTATAACTTCACTCGGTAGAGTCACTAAGCTTCCTCAAGTGTTTTTTGGCACAAGACACAACAATTTCTAGATAAAGGCTTGGTTCTTTATCTAAATACAAATAATCCAGTAAACTGCATTGGCGGTTAAATAATTGATTAAGCTCTATTAAAATCTCAGTGTCACAGTTTGCTATCTTTTCTGGGTCCACATCTAACAGCGCTGAATCAATTTCTGACCACAATTTACAAAACAACCGTTCCTCTATGTATTCAAATACCTTCTGACTGCAGATCATTCCTGATTCTCTGATGCTTTTAGAAACAATATTCCTGACAAGCATTTTCACAGCACTTTTGAGTTGTGTATCCTTTTCCCCGGCTGATTTCTGTTGGGTAACCGAGTGCTCAGAGGAGCAAATGTCCTCAGACGTTTCTGACGAGTTGTCCTCACTTTCTGTCACTTCTGGCACGTCTGATACCGATGGGCTAAACTTTGCACAGTTAGCTAGTTTGAGTTTGGCACTTTTATATCTAGCTACTAAAAATTCATACTCCACATCACTAAGTTTGGTACCAATCTTGTAATATTTTTGGTTGAGCATTCTAATTTCATCAACAGTCAATGTTCTCGGATGCTCTGTTGAGTTATTCTCAGAGACGTCTGATACCGATGGTGAAACCTTCGAGGAATATTTACCTTTAAACAGGTTTGTGAAAAAGCGTTTACATGCAGCAACTGCAGGAAAGGTTTCCTTTTCTGGTAGCTCCTTCTCATCAAAGATTTTCACAGCACTTTTGAGTTGTGTATCCTTTTCCCCAGATGATTTCTGTTGGGTAACCGAGTGCTCAGAGGAGCAAATGTCCTCAGACGTTTCTGACGAGTTGTCCTCACTTTCTGTCACTTCTGTCACTTCTGATACCGATGGTCTAAACTTTGCACATTTAGCTAGTTTAAGTTTGGCACTTTTATATGCAGTTAATAGAAATTCACCCTCCACATCACTAAGTTTGCTACCAATCTTTGAATATTTTTTGTGGAGCATTCTAATTTCATCATCAGTGAATGTACTCGGAGGCTCTTTCTTTGTTTCAGGGCCATCTTCTCCTGGTTCCTGCTGTCTTTTTGAGTCCTGAAGGGATGAAATCTGCAGCTTTTCCTGAGATGACATGCCAGCAACATTTTCTGTTGAGTTATTCTCAGAGACGTCTATCACGTCAGATACTGCTGGTGAAACCTTGGAGGAATATTTACCTTTAAACAGGTTTGTGAAAAAGCGTTTACATGCAGCAACTGCAGGAAAGGTTTCCTTTTCTGGTAGCTCCTTCTCATCAAAGATTGCATAAATATCTTCCTCTTCAGAATCGTCATCTTCCTCACTAACATTTAGCTCGCTCTGATATTGTTCGTAGAGCCGTTGAACTTCAAGATCAATCAATACACTTGGATGCTCTTTCTTTGTTTCAGGGCCATCTTCTCCTGGTTCCTGCTGTCTTTTTGATTCCTGAAGGGATGAAATCTGCAGCTTTTCCTGAGATGACATGCCAGCAACATTTTCTGTTGAGTTATTCTCAGAGACGTCTATCACGTCAGATACTGCTGGTGAAACCTTCGAGGAATATTTACCTTTAAACAGGTTTGTGAAAAAGCGTTTACATGCAGCAACTGCAGGAAAGGTTTCCTTTTCTGGTAGCTCCTTCTCATCAAAGATTGCATAAATATCTTCCTCTTCAGAATCGTCATCTTCCTCACTAACATTTAGCTCCCTCTGATATTTTTCGTAGAGCCGTTGAACTTCAAGATCAATCAATACACTTGGATGCTGTGGTTCAGTTTCTGTTTGCTGGTGTTTTGAGTCTTCAGAGGAATAACTTTGCTGTCCCAAAGTTGCCAGCAACATGGTTCCTATGCCAGCAACATTGTTCTGTATTGTAGAGTGTTTCTCAGTGACAGAGACGTCTGTCACATCTGATGAAGACTGTGAATCCTCTCCAAAACATTTACCTTTGCAAAGCTTACTGATATGATACTTGGATCTGGCACCCTTAGATTTTTTAGGTACAGCAAACTCTTCCTTTTCTGCATCTTTCCCTTCCTGTTCAGACTCATCTTTGATATGTCCTGATATGTCATTTTCTTTTGCTAATTTTGTCCCACACTTCAGCTGTATGGGAATAATTTCTCCAAGGTACTGTTCCAAAAACTGCCTAATTCTTTGTTTGAAGTCATTTCCTTCCAGCCTTTCACTTAAGTCTGATCGTGTTGAGAGATAATTCATTACTCTTGTAAACGCCTCAGAGATCAAATACTTGTCCAAAACATTTGAGCTTACATACCTTACTTGCTGGCTTCCATCTTTCCCCTGATTAAAATTTTTCAAAATCAGTTCAATTACATGGGGAACATATTTATTTATCATCTCAGAAATCCGCTTTTGTGTTTCACAATGAATTCTGCCCGAATGCAAACAAATCCACTCCTGTTCAGTCAATTCATTGAAAATATTAAGAGTACCCGCTCTAAACTGGTCATAAAATGCCACAACTTCAAGATTTGATTCACTTTTTCCTTCCATCTTTAAATTAATGAGTTTGTTTGCAAATAAATTTCTTGTAAGACTTTAGTTTGTTTAAATAGCAATTCTGATGACTTGCCAAACACAACAGTAATAATTCTGTATTGTTTGAAAGAAATGTTAGCTAAATAGAACTGGTGTGTTACCTCCAGAAACTGCAGCCTCAAATGACACGTAGCACCTTGAAGCAAGTCAGTTGAAATGGTCTGAGCAGAAACAAGCTTTCATCACAGACATTCTAAAACCGACGATGACATCATAGTCCACGCCCACAAAGAACACATGTCCACGCCCAAAGAACACATGTCCACGCCCAAAGAACACATGTCAGTCTAGCTTGTTGCCTAGCAACCATAAAAAAAAAACACAAAATTCTCTGGATTCCATGTGGTCAGGGTCAGTTAGAGAACTCAGGCAAAAAGTTATATTTTCACAGAAGTAAAATATATTGCAATACATTTTATATAAAATTTTATTCCTTACTTTCCTTTTGAATTTAATAAAGCAATCTTTCATTCCACTGAATGACCAGATAACACATTTTTATCTATGAAAAAAATAGTGCAAATATTTTTCTATATACCGCAATATATTAATTAACATACCCCCATTTCTGTCTATCTGGCCCCGGATAACACTGTCACAGACACCCCCACCCCCCATAGACACACACATACTTCTTCTATATGTTGACTCATAACAAACCAGTAATTGTTTAAAATGACTTAAGTCAGAATTTTTTGGGTTATCCATAAGTACTGAACTTTGCTGAATCGAGCCACAAAACTACTGTAAATAGCAGTTTCAGCTGACGCTCTTATAAGTGGCGTAGGAGCACAGGCACACTCACTAGGGTTAAACAAGCGCACCCTTTCCGAGGCTGACGTTCTATTGGCTGGAAAGGTTGCTAGGTGACGATCCATCTGCAATCCAAGACAGAGCAAAAAAAATCTGCAAGCAGAGCCTACGGGTTTGCGAGCGTATCTGAGACTCAAGCAGAGCGCGGTTTGTGCGCGAAGAGAAGGAGGCAAGCGAGAGGAGAAAATATCTGTGCAAGAAGCATTAAATCTGAGAGAAGAAACAAAGATTTGAGAGAGAAGAGAAAATATTTGAGAGAGAGCGCATGTTTAGAGTGTGAGCATTATAAGTTTTGAGTGCAAGAAGATGAAATTCTTTTCTCAAATTGAAATTATGTGCTCTTGCATTATGGCAGGATAATTCTCCCATAGCCACATCCTAAAAAGTGGGAGAGAAAAGATCTCCAACTGCACCTTTAGGTTGAAGATATAGCACAAGATGACACACAGTTTATCTGAGAAACATCTCAGAATCCTGGAACTGATGCCATCTGAATCCTAAGCCTTTCCCACCTTGATCTGTCGCAGCTCATTACTCACCTGTATTGTTGAAAGTGACAAGATGGTGGAGGAGGGGTGGGCTGTATGGTGGAATTCTTCAACCCAGTCTCATGGGAAAATGTACCCCCACTACGTTGGTCCACACTGCAAAACGTAGTGGAGGTACATTAATGGCCATTTTTTTGTGGTACTGTTACGTTTCTTCTGCCTATACGCTTTCTATTGTTTTACGTCCTAGTCACGTGACTTTCAAGATTCCAGCTGGGAGAAGAAAAAAATATATATAGATGGCCGACATTCGCTCATTTTTTGTGGAAAGATTAATAACTTGAGTTTGTTTTTGCATTAAAATGAGTTTTGATTACATTTCTAGTGAGAAATGTATAGTTTGTTGCCAGAATATTTACTCAGGGAATGTACATATTCACTTGTTCGTTTCTTGCAAAGATTTTTCAAGATAATGTGAAACTGTAACATTTTGGTATAAACATGGCTGAGATTTCTCTAACTTTTAGTGGGAAAAACAATAATTTCAATCAGTTTCTGCATTTAAATGGGTTTTGATCACATTTATAGCGAGAAGTGTAGGGTTTATTTACATAATATTTACTTAGTGAACATACATAATCACCCGCTTGCTAGTTTTTGCTACGGTTTTTCGGATCTCGTCAGGATTATGTGAAATTGCAACGTTTTGGCTGCTACCCATCGCCTAGCATTTAGCTGCCGCCCCGATTCAACATTGAATTCTCTGTGATTTAACTCTATCTGACGGATCAAACCCTCGCCACTGCGTGCGTTGCGTCTGAGGTTGATTTTCAGATCAATGCATTACGTCGTGGCATACGGGAGAAACTAATTAAACTAGTTAAAAAAAGGATCATGGGTTAAGATCGGATGTGTTTTATTTGGAAATCTACCGGATCCTTTGTGCATTTCACTTCCTGTTTGGTGCGATCTCATTGATGGGTTTTGACCAAAGAGGAACTAAAAAAAAAACAAAAAAACAATTTAAATACACAACCAGCATATCTGGAATCAATGACAGAGAGCATACATAATCACCCGCTTGCTAGTTTTTGCTACGGTTTTTCGGATCTCGTCAGGATTATGTGAAATTGCAACGTTTAGGCTGCTACCCATCGCCTAGCATTTAGCTGCCGCCCCGATTCAACATTGAATTCTTTGTGATTTAACTCCATCTGACGGATCAAACCCTCGCCACTGCGGCGTTGCGTCTGAGGTGGATTTTCAGATCAATGCATTACGTCGTGGCAAACGGGAGAAACTAATTAAACTAGTTAAAAAAAGGATCATGGGTTAAGATCGGATGTGTTTTATTTGGAAATCTACCGGATCCTTTGTGCATTTAACTTCCTGTTTGGTGCGATCTCATTGATGGGTTTTTACCAGATTTTGACCAAAGAGGAACTAAAAAAAAAAAAAAAAACAATTTGAATACACAACCAGCATATCTGGAATCAGTGACAGAGAGCGACTGGGACCAGAAGTTTATTAATTTCTCCCCACTGATTTTCATTCAAAATGTTTTCGATCCCACCGGGCTCTAGGGAAGGGGCGTGCATACCGCCACCTACTGTTCATGAGTGTGTAGCAACATTGTTTTACATCTATTAAATTCTATTTTTTAATTTTGTATTCTGAAGATAAATAAATAATGCTTTCCTTAATCTATAAATATCTTTTATATTTCCTTTATTTCCCAATAATCCTTTAAGACTCCATTCTTGGCCTGTCCTTTCAACTCTTTTCAATTACTTCCTTTCAGGTTCATATGTTTTGCAGTTCATCAATACATCTGCATTTTCTATCTCTCCACATCCTTCACATTTATCATTATTTTTCCTCCCTATTAAGTATAAATTGTCATTTAAATAAGTATGACCTACTCTTAATCTGATCATTATTATTTCTTCCCTTCGGTTTCTCTCATTAATATTTCTATTTAATACTGACTTTTGTACTTTATATAACCTTCTTCCTTTTTATCTTCATTCCACCTTTTTTTTTTGCCATTTTTCAATTTCTTTCCTCTTAATAAATGATTTTCCTTCCCCTTTCCCTAAAGGAATTGTAATTGTTATTTCCTCCTCTAATTGCTAATTTGTCTACTACTACTACATTTTCCCACTTTGACCTTTTAAGGTTAGCATATTGACCAAAAGCTGACACCAAAAATAAAGCAATCGATTATTTACAACAATATGCTACATTTAATGAAGACTAATACAGATTTTACTCTCTTATAAGAATTAGTTTCAGGTTTTATAGGGGAGAGTTTGTATCGGCAGTCATCTGGGAATCTTTTATGTATTTACTGGTAAAGAACAACCTCTCAACCCATTTAATGTAAATGTTGCGTCGAACCAGAAAGTTATTTGAAGAGCATAGATGCATAAATATGTGCATAGCTTTAACAAGGGCCTCATGAAGGTCTGTTCTGTTATTCTCTTTTGGAGAATATAGACATTGTGGGCATTCATTTCCCTGATAAGCTGGTGAAGATTCTTAGACATCCAGGTCATAATCATTCAAAAAAAACAAAACAAACAAAAAAAAAACAAAAAAAACTTTGGACTTTGTTTTTCTATTCAATTCAAAATTACAGTAGCCCAACAAATCCTTGTTTTGGCTAAGAAAATATGAAAATTGAACCTGATGCCTGATCCCAATAGCTTGACTCTGAACCGAATTTGATCCCTATTACTTTTTGGCCACATGCACATTATTGTGCTGCCTGGTCAACCCTAAGAAAGTGTTCTGGAACTGCCACTGAACTGACACCCAATGCATGGAGGGTAACACAAAAAGGTCCATTGTTAGAGAAACTGGGTGCCTACAAAGTGCTGTTTTCAAGCTAATTAATGGAAAGTTAGGTGGAATGAAAAGTAGACAAATAACAATTACAATTCCTTTAGGGAAAGGGGAAGGAAAATCATTTATTAAGAGGAAAGAAATTGAAAAATGGCAACAAAAAAAGGTGGAATGAAGATAAAAAGGAAGAAGGTTATATAAAGTACAAAAGTCAGTATTAAATAGAAATATTAATGAGAGAAACCGAAGGGAAGAAATAATAATGATCAGATTAAGAGTAGGTCATACTTATTTAAATGACAATTTATACTTAATAGGGAGGAAAATAATGATAAATGTGAAGGATGTGGAGAGATAGAAAATGCAGATGTATTGATGAACTGCAAAACATATGAACCTGAAAGGAAGTAATTGAAAAGAGTTGAAAGGACAGG